TATAGTTATCTTTATAATTATCGTTCTTGGTGTGAACGGGGCTTATTGTAGTTATGTTGACAGTTATCTTTCTTAAGGCTCGTCCACACCAAGAACGATAACTATATTAGAATCCGCACTAACACACAATAATGTAATCTGCCCCTTTAAATGCTTGAGCGCTTGAAAGCGGGATGGATTCTGATTGGCTGTCAATGTTTTTATTGTTCATCAGCTGGAAAAAAAATTAGTTTTGAGAGTGATTCCAACTATCTTTCTTCTGTCTCATAGAAAAAGAATGATCAAACTTTAAAGTTATTGTTATGATCATTGGTGTAAATGGGCCTTTATATTAACTGGACTGGCTCAGGCTCTTTTATCATTGAGCTTATGACCCTAACCTGCTCCTGCATTAGAAATCCTGATATTTCAAAAAAAGAAGACAATACAGCAAATAAATGTGTTTTTGATTTAGGCCCATACAATGATCTCACTTTTGTGAAACACTGCATTGTTTAATTTCATAAATAATAGTTTCCTACTTTATAGGAATTGCAGTTTAGTTAGCCAAGCTTTTTTATTTTTTATTATTTCACATTTGATGTGGTTTGGTCTTAATGAAGATGGCCAGGTTGTTTACATACTTGGAATTGACGGGATTATTTGAAAGTGCTTCTTCTGAATTTTCATTAGGAAGTTTAAAAGAGAATTCTACATAATTTTGCACCAAAAACCTTATTAATGGTCTTTTCTTATTGGTAGCTATGTTTGCAAGACTTCTTCGTGGAGTTTGAGCAAGGATCATTCTAAGGGTGTTCTGATCCACCAGATGCTGAACAAAAGGCAATTCTGTGGAGTTGTGGTAGCTCTACACCCCCATGTGAATTATTGCGCCTGTCCTCTGTCCTTTTGTATTCAAGCTGAGAACAGAAAGTCATAAATTTTGTGAATTTATAGCATCCAATTAAACAAGGAAAGGTGGGAAATGCTTTATAGACTGCCAAAAATGAAAAAGGCTCACTGCAACAGAATTTAAATGTTGATGAGAAAGTTTGCAAACAAGATGACAAAAAAAGAAAGAAAAAAAACCCAGTGGGTTGCCAGTCTTAATATCTTATGCAATTTGCTTCCCAAGTAACTGTATGTTGTTTCAAAGATATTTAGATAGCTTTACTTGAAAAATAAGACAGAAATACCTTAAGGAAATGATCTTTTACAGTGTATTGAATGTACAAAATATTTTTTTCTAGCCTGAGCACTACAGTACAAACAAAATCCCAGCAAAAGATGAAGATGAAGGGAATGTCACATCAATGCATTTTCTTCGAGCACTTTACAGAGATTTTGCATCCTTCTTATGTTGTTCAGGAAACAAACAGAGGTCCTTATCCAGCTCAGGCTGATTAAATCAAAGCAACAGTTTAGTTATATAATATGAAGAAAAATTCAAACAAAGATGTTTGCAGTTAAATCTGTTGTCTTAATTCCTCAAATGCTGAATTAATCGGTTTCTCTGATTGTGTCCTGCCAACGAAGCCATACTTAGCACAATGAGGAGCAGCTTGTTTTTAAAGACAAACTATAGTGCTGTGACATCCAGCTGATTTGTATTTTTTCCCTGTTCAGGAAACTGAGACATGTAATTACCACGGTACACACAGACATCTACAGAAAATACAGTTATCTCATTCAAACCATGTCTGCCCACTGGGGGAAAGAAGCAACAGCTAAATATTCATGCCGTTTCATTGTTTATATGTGGCAGCAGTGAGCATTAGATAAGATAAGAGTGTGTATGTATGAGCAAGAGAGCAAGGAGGAGAGAAAGGAAGAAAGTGAGAAAAACAATGATTATATTGCCATGGAATTTTTCAGTTATTTAAAAATAACAAATCTTTATCTATACAATTATTATTAAATGATTATTAATAATAATAATTATTTTTAATTTATAAAATAAATATAAATATTATAAATAATAATTATTTTATTTAATTTTTAGTTTAGTTTATTTTAGTTTAGTTGGTAAAATAAAAAGCAGGAAATGCAGCCAGGAAGTCATGGGAACTCCAGGCCAACTGTTTTTAATAAAATGTAAGCTATAACAATAATAATAATAATAATAATAATAATAATAAAATATTATAAATTATAATTTAATACATATGCTCCACCATCCTATACAGAGGATAATCTGTTTGGAGAATGGATGGATGGGCGGATGAATGATATAATACATTACATAATAAATTAAAAGTGTGTGCACAATTGTTTATTGTTTTATTTATACAAATACTTTTTTTCATGACTATTAATGCAAAATAAATCAATTTAAACTTGTCTGCACTACTATTTATTGTATTATTTATCTGAATATGTTTTGCATGGATGGAGCTTTAAAGTCCTGCTTTAAAGGAGTGGCTTTAAAGATGTGAGGAAGCGGAAATTATGATAGTCTTTTCTTCCCTATTTTGACATATATCCAAGTGCAACGGCTTCTTGAATGAGAAAAAAAATGTAGGGTGGGACTTCATTTTGCCCATTGGGAAATGATTGAATCATTGCCTGAGGAGAAAGGTTAGTGTCCTGCATTTGTGCCAGAGAAGAGAAAAGATGTCAAGGGGGAGGGGAAATCATACTGAATAAAGATTACAAGAGCACATAAATAAATAAAAAAAATAACGATGTGCATGGATGAATCATTTATAATAAACACAACAGTATTCCATAAAAACAAGAAATGCCCATTTTGATTTCATGGTGACTTTAAGTCACAGCAAAGTGGCTTACTGGCGTCATAGTGTTTTAAATACCCACAAGTGCTGATGTATGCGGGTATACGTGCGGTGGCTGGGTGCCAGTACGGGTGAGTAGGAGTCCTTACTGTGTTGTCAGCACAGAGAAATGCATGGAACGTGTGTACAGAGTGTTCCCTGGCAGCACCCGCACATTCTGAGCTGTGCGGGGCGAGGCAGCTGGGACTATTATTAGGCCTCGAGTAAATCTGATGCTGCCCTGGCCATGTTTGGTACCACAGGACTGGCGACGGTAGACAGGGTGCAGGGTTTCTCCTTCCACCACGGAGATGAGGACACACATGGTGCTGGATGTTTATGATATAATATGTAAACTGCCAAACACATATTTTAAATGTTTTGCATTGATTTGTTTAGGTTATTAGCTTTGCAAATAGTATATACATGTCAAGACATCACTCAGTCCAATCGCTGATGCCTTGTCACAGACAAAAATGGATAAACATGTGGGACTACAGAGAGCTGCAGTGATGACATACAGTATTTTTGTAAGCCAACCCGGAAGTTCGCTTCACCCTGGTTTCCTTAAAAACCTACTGGGTCTTCGATTACTACAGAAAATACGCTCTGTGACCAACATAAGTTTAGGATTCTTGCATGCTTGGTTCATCATGATAATCTTCACAACTTTTAGGAATTCTGAAGCCTAAATACAATTGCCAAAAGTCAAAACCTAAACATAGGCTATAAACTTTTTGCATTGATTTGTTTAGGTTATTAGCTTTGCAAATAGTATATACATGTCAAGACATCACTCAGTCCAATCGCTGATGCCTTGTCACAGACAAAAATGGATAAACATGTGGGACTACAGAGAGCTGCAGTGATGACATACAGTATTTTTGTAAGCCAACCCGGAAGTTCGCTTCACCCTGGTTTCCTTAAAAACCGACTGGGTCTTCGATTACTACAGAAAATACGCTCTGTGACCAACATAAGTTTAGGATTCTTGCATGCTTGGTTCATCATGATAATCTTCACAACTTTTAGGAATTCTGAAGCCTAAATACAATTGCCAAAAGTCAAAACCTAAACATAGGCTATAAACGAACTATTCCACAGTTGCTGAGCTTCACCATCACTAAGCTTACGAAAACTATTTCAGTCTTTATTTAAAAAACATGTTAAAATAGTTTGCAAGAGTGCGATCATAAACACAATGAGGCTGTGAAAGCAAACTAGTGAGTAGATGAGTTTTCCTGTTCGGCGTGATGACCTTTAATGTCGCAACAACCTCAGTCATCCCATTTAGCAACTTGTTAGCCTTTTCCAAGCTTGATTACAACAGGCTATTACTGATGTATTTTATGTTGTAACATAAAATGTGAAACCTTATTTCAGGCATTTAACCAAAAAACAAACAAACATTGATTTCAGGACGATGGAACCAGAAGAACTAAAATGCTAACTTGTTTCCGGGTTTGGCCTACAAAAATATGTCACCCTGCAGCACTTTATTGGTTTTTGTTCAAGAAACGATGCCCAGACACCTTTCATCTTAATATGCAACCAAATGAGTTGAAATATCAAAATTGTACAGTTCATCAGTCACCCCTTTTGGGTCACCAATACCAATTTTTGAAGGCAAAATGGTTTGCACCTGCAATGTTTTGGTTATCAACCCAGATCTTTCATCATTAGGCCAACATAACCAACATAGTGACCCTGAGGCACTACGGTGGCTCAATAATAAATCACAAGTGATTTGACTTCCGCTCACTTCCAACAGAAATTATTTTAAAGGATTCCCATTTTATTTCATTTTCACCCCGTACAACACCTGGATGAATTATTTAATGCAATCTTTCTCTGCTTCAAAACCAGCTCAGAAATACACAAGCCAAACATCTAAACCGAACCTCATTATTCCTCCAGCTCACAGATCTTACAATATGCATTATTAAATCAAGCAAATCTAATAAAATAAAGCACAATCTACATTCAACCACCAAATTAGCCCTATGAAGCACTTTCATCATTAAAAGATGCTGTAATAATTTTTTTTATTCTCCTAAAAATGTTTTACTCCAAATGTACTTCTGACAAATATGAATAAAATGTACATGCCCGCATGAAATCCAGTTATATCAATGGCCTAAAACAAGCTGTTTTATGCTACACAACACACTGTCATGGTGGCCACCATGTTGACATCACAATACTAGCATTATGAGTTAATAAACACCAAATTTCAGACAAATTTACCTCAAACTGCATAATTTTCCAGATAGAATCAACTTGTATTGATGATTGTATATGATTCTGAAAGGATAAGTATCCCGGAGAATCACACTACACGATGACATGCAACCTACCAGCCATCTGTCACGGAGAGCGCCTCAGCGGCCCCGTGTATTACCATGTACATTCTCTCTGTTTTTCATGTCAGAGCCACCAGAGGAGAAATGAAAGAGGGTCCAAAAAGGGCAAGCTGTTCCTGGGACAGGAATTAGAGATGCCATACAGTGAAAAATTGCCATATGTACAAATTTTAGGTCGCACACATGGAAATTTTCCATGTTAAAAATAAAAAAATAAAATAATGAAAAACATTAATTAATAAAAACAGATATTGTAATTAATAACATTTACTTTTAGTAAACACAGAACCAAAATAGTCTATTGTAAAAAAAAAGCAAACAAAACTGCTGTTAAAATCAATCATTGAATTGTATTACTGCAACAATACGCAAAATGATTGAATGTATCTTGAAATTGTATAATTTCAGCAGCCAATGATTCACACACAAAACACATTTCAATGTAATTTTTTTCAATTTTCTTGAATTTGTTCATGTTTTTTTAAGCTTTTGACAGATTCATTTTGAGTAAAATACCATAAAGTTTGATTAAAAGCATGACCTTTGACCTCAACAGTAAAATATACAAAAAGTGTTGTCTTCTTCCTTTTAAATGTTAATAAGCCTATATTTATTATTAGAATTTTTTATTAGCTGTAAACAATATTCTAAATTAGTGTTAGTGTTAAATCAAATGAAATCATAAGTCAATGTTCCTGTGGCTCAGTGGTAGAGCATTGCGTTAGCAGTGCAAAGGTCGTAGGTTAAATTCCCAGGGAACACACATACTGATAAAAAATGTATAGCCTGAATGCACTGTAAGTTGCTTTGGATAAAAGCGTCTGCTAAATGCATTAATTTAATTTAGTGTAATTTTTATTAGATTTAACTTATTGGTTACAATTTACAATAAGGTAATGATTAACTAACATTAATTAACAATAAGCAATACATTTGTTACAACATGTATTAATCTTTGTTAACATTAGGCCCACTTAATAAATATTCAACTGTTCATTGTTAGTTCATGTTAGCTCAGGTCCATTACATAATATTAACAGATGATAATGTTCACTTTTGATTTTAATAATGTATTTGTAAATGTTAAAATTAACATTAACTAAGATGAACTTTATTATTAACTAATAGATGCTTTCGAAGTATTTTTATTCATTAGTTCATGAAACTATTATTTTTCGAAATGTCTTTGTTAGTAAATCAGTACTTAGCAGGGTTATTATAGTTAACTAAAACTGAAACTAAAACAATTAAAATATTGTTACTTAAAATAAATGTTAACTGAAATATGAATTAATGGAGTTAGACTAAATTAAAATAAGAAACGCTGCCATGACAACAAGCTGAAATGGAAGTTTTTACACACACACATACACACACACACACACACACACAAACACACACACACACACAGGTTTGTTTTTGTGAAAAGTGGGGACATCCCATAGGCATAATGGTTTTTATACTGTACAGACCGTATATTATATTGCCCTACACCAACCCTACCCCTAAACCTACCCCTTACAGGAAACTGTGTGCTATTTCAGATTGTGTGATTTATAAGCATTTTGAAAAGTGGGGACATGGGGTAATGTCCTGAAAAGTCACCTTTTCCTTGTAATACCTATATCATACCCTTGTCATTATACAAATTGATATCCTCATTTGTCACAAAAACGCGCACACACACACACACACACACACACCCGCACCCATATATATAGCAAAGAAACCTGGGGTTCCATACCACCTCAGCAGTGCCACAAACTGATCACCTCCATGCCACGCCGAATTGAGGCAGTAATTAAAGAAAAAGGAGCCCCTAAGTATTGAGTACATGTACAGTAAATGAACATACTTTCCAGAAGGCCAACAATTCACTAAAAATGTTTTTTTATTGGTCTTATGAAGTATTCTAATTTGTTGAGATAGTGAATTGGTGGGTTTTGTTTTTTTTAATTGTGATGATTTTTGCCAAAAACACTCTGTGTGCATTGAATTTATTTAATACACGAGTTTCACAATTTGAGTTGAATTAATGAAATAAATGAACTTTTCCATGACATTCTAATTTATTGAGATGCACCTGTATATGGGTGTGTGTGTGTGTAAAAAGTTAAATTTCAGCTTGTTGTCATGGCAGCGTTTCTTATTTTAATTTAGTCTAACTCCATGTATGCCACTGATAACAAAACACGATGTACTACATTGATGTGATACATACTGTGACAAAAACACAAAACAAAATTAATAAACTTTAAAATGAAAACAGAAAATATAACAATAAAAGCTGAAAATGCTCATAAAACCGTAATAGTATCTCTGCCATACTCAAAATTGAAACTCGTAAACTATAAAGATGTTTTTATCCGTGCACACACCTTGACTCCGTACATCTTCACGCCATCAATTTGCCAAAGTAGGCTACGGTACACAGTAGGCATATGTGAGCAGCACACACGCACCCCTCGAAACGCAGCTCAAAAATAGCATCACATTTATTTGAAGTGTTCGTCTTAGACTCCGCCAGAGCCATTAAAGACTATCAGACTCCAATTACAGGGCAAGTTTCCATAACCAGCAGTACACAAGAATACGGGACAAATCCAGCCAGCCGAAGCTTTCCTCCTCCAAGTTGCGTCACCATGACAACTGGCGAGCAGCGTGTGCGAACGTCAGCATTTGGTTTCATTACTTCTGATCTCTCCAGTCAGTGTAAACTAGGGTTGGTTCGGGTTAGCACTTAGCAAGCGGTATCCTGAGCGAAAGCTCATTAGTTGAGAGGTATGGCAGAGAGCAGCTGTTAGGTGAACCCTGCTGCGTTATTAATACTAGGAAGCAGTGACACACCCACGTAAAACATGGTGCTGGAGCCGCGCAGCATGTTGTTTTTCTTTGCCGTTCACTGTGATATATCATATTTATTGGTTGCTGTAATATGGCTGGTAACCGCAAAGGCTGCTGGTTCATTGTGCCCTTGAGTAAGACACTCGACCTCAGTTTGCTGCAGGGTGACTGGCCCTTATACTTCATTACCATACTTAAATGTTATTTTTAGATTTTGTATACTCTAATCAAGTATTATTGAACTACTTGTAGTTCACTCATTACACTTTTATTATAGAAAAAGTTTTATGATTTACTCACCTTCATGTCGCTTCAAATTTGTATGACATTTTTTTTCTGCGGAACATTAAAAGGGGGGTCTAATGCTAGTTCATGCATTCTGACATATGTACACTGTTAAAGAGTTGGATTCATGACTCATTTAAACATGGTCAAAGTTTCAAATAACGAGTTGGACGTATGACGGAGTATTTCTGTGCCAAATAAACTCCTTCCAGGTTCTTATAAGTTTCTGAAAGTTTTTTTCGAGCATGGCTGTTCATGACGTCATGAAGGGCGGAATTCCTTGTATGGGCACTACTCCCGGAAGAGTGCGTGCACACAGCAACCAGAGCAAGAACAAGAGCAGCCCATCAATATGGTTCATAAAGGTTACGGAAGTCTTCGGCAGCGCTGCACAGGACTTGCTCGAGAAGAATGTCTCCAAAGAAGGCAAGGCATGTTTATTTATATAGCACATTTCGTACACAATGGTAATTCAAAGTCCTTTACATAAAAGAAAGTCAAATAATCATAAAAAATAATCACAAAAATAAAACAAGGAATTTTAAAACTTTGACAATTATTTAAAAATTGATTTAAAATTAATTTAAGACAGTTAAAAAAAGAAAATGATTATACATAAAATACAGTGCAGTCATTTCGGGTTGCATAAAATACAGTGCAATCAGTTCGGACATCGCACAGTGCTCATTCAATAAAAGCACAGCTAAACAGATGAGTTTTGAGTCTAGATTTAAATGTGACTAATGTTTTAGCACATCTGATCTCTTCTGGAAGCTGATTCCAACTTCGGGGCGGCAAAATAGCTAAATGCGGATTCCCCTTGTTTTGTGCGAGCCCTTGGTATTTCTAACTGACTCGATCCTAATGATCTGAGTGGTCTGTTAGGTTTATATTCAGTGAACATATCTGCAATGTATTTAGGTCCTAGGCCAGTTAGTGATGTAAAGAAGTGTGTTTTTGGATGCAAGGGAAAGATAACCTTGATCTGCTTTCCAAAGAATAAATCTGATAAAAAAAAAGACTCTTCGGAGATATGAAGGATGCAATACTACTCAAGATTAACATGAGATTGGCAGAAGCTGCGTGTGTTATGTCCCCTTTAAAGAAGATATTTTTCAGGTTGCTCTTTTCTCTTTTGCGTTTCAAAAACAGATGCAAAAGCACTATACAGCTACTCCATACAACTTGTAAGCAGGGCTGGATTAATGCACGTGCCTACTGGGTACGTGCCAAGGGCACTAGACCAGAGAAATAAGGCTCCCCCTGATTTTGAATGTAATTTCAACTGAGAGGGGCCTTTAAATTGGTCCGTGCACAGGGCACTGCTAGTCTGCCTTGACATAATCTGGCCCTGCTTGTACTCGATGTTCTGAAGCCATAGGATAGCTTTGCGTGAGAAACAGACAGAAATTCAAAATGAAAGTATTTTATTTTTAACAGCAATTGAAATGTAAAATGTAATCTGCCACATTGCTGGTGACAATTACAGGATATTGGTGTCAGTTTGACATCTGGTGTGTCGAGGAGACTAATGTTTAGTTCATTTGCTTTCTTAAATAACAAGAAAAAAACCCCTGTGATTAAACGGGTTGCTTTACAAACTAATTTTTAATTTGACTATAACTTTACTATATTCACACATTTTAATGTGAGAATTTTACTTTATATAAGTTGTGTATATTTTTTAGAAAATAAATACAAGTATTTAACTATATGACTGTAAGTTTATAAAAAAGTTAGCATAATCTGAGACGAATAATATTTTTAAGAGTTATTAGATCCACAAATAGATTATTAGATAATAAAGTTTTGATTTGTTTTGTTTTTTTCATTTGTAATACTATGCACAATAACAACAGGAATGTGTATTAGGAAACTAAACTGTGTTCATTCAGATGACCCTACTGATGATT